CACGTTCTATGCTCGCCTATCCACGTGTTTGTATGTTATGATTATTTTCATAAATAATATTTGGTATGTTTGTGCAGGTGTTCGGTATCTTCAACACGGCAGCGTACGCAGGTAGCGCATTCTTCTTGTACAAGGAGCACAGAAGTGCAGTGGCGGTGTCATCGTGAGGTGCGGCGCTGCAACCACGGCGGCCAGTAGACGAAACTCCAAATATCCGGCTTCACCACCCACAAACATTACAAGCACCCAAAATTAAGATCCAAGAACTCTGCGAAGGTTATAAATCTAATTATAATTAATTTTATGAATCGTAAAATGCGCCGAGGAACGATAATATATCATCGCGCATTAAACATTAACTTGTTGTGGAAACGGGAATGCAGACACGTTAAATTCTTCTGTTTATAATATAATTCCGTATTACAATGATTAGTTCATAATCATGAACGAATTAGTAAACATATACCCTCTTATTAATAAACAAAAAATAAGCTTGGATAAGTTACTATATGTTTTGTCTCAGTTCATTGAATGACAAATTTGAGTGATATGAACAAAATACCGCGTTAAGTTTATTCGTCGTTTATTAATAAGGGGGATTATATTTCCGTAAATCTTTAATGTAGCTTTTTATTTTTTGCACAATTGAAAGGTGTTATGTTAGGTCAATTGAAATACTTATTATAGTAATAAGTCAATTGTTGAATATAAAATTGTGCTTTGTCTGTTCACGTTATTGAATTAAATATTGCATTATTTAATTATATGGCCATAGAATTTAGATGATTATAGACCTACGTGAGTAAGTAGCTACCTACTGTTTATTTTATAACACTTATCTTACCAGCGTCAATGAATTAGTCCATTTTCTATTAAAGAATATCTTCGGTGATAATAAATTAAATACTTAAATATTTATAAATAACAAAAAAAACTATCATAAATTTTGTCAGAGAGTTCAACACGCTACTTACAATGAGCGAATGTAGATTTTAATGATTTATAATATTTAACGAGAACAGTTTTGATAAGCTTAGTTAATAAATTTAAATAATTTATTTTATGCTTATTATAAATACATGTTAGCCTAGTCTTACAATGGAACAGTTTTCATTGTAATGAACAAAACGAATATTTTTTATATGTAAACGTATTAATATTTATTACGCAATCGAATACATAACGTAAATACTTAAAATAGCGTTTTTTTTGTTCTAAGGAAAAATGAAAACCAGATCTTTTATAACCGTAATGATGTATTTAATTACATAGATTCATAAGACTCCCTTTACCATTTTAAAAAGACGTTTGTTGTGGACTTCGTGTATATCTATAATCCTTAAAACTATTTATATTTATTATAGGAAAGATGTTCGAGATAGGTAACTTTCCTCGTGTTTTTTCTGTTTAAGCAATTTATGATGATTAAACTAAGGCAAATTCTCACTATTTTATCTAATTATTTTACTTACGATGCAGTTTGCGTAGTTTTGGTGCATTTTGATCACAAAATATAAATATTTTTTATAAAAGTCTGTGTAATAATTAATATAATGATACTGTTTGTGTCTGTTTCATATATCTTAAAGTTGTTGTACCTAACTTATTTAAAGTATTTTGTAGTTATATTTTGATACATTATTCAGCTATATATTGTATATATAATATCAAATATTAGGTCTTATCATACTTTACAGATTTCTTTAAATAATAAAACATTACACATGATTTGAGTGGATAATAAATATATTAGCGATACAGTCTTCTTATTGTGTAATTTTATTAATAACATATACAATTATGAAAAAGAGTTCGTGATAGACATACAGTAAGGTAAGATTCGCTAATATGTTTGTTATCTACTAATAAATGTAACTACTGACCGTTTTATAATGTAGACATTAATACTTTTGTATAATTGAGTTGACGTCTCACGAATAAAGTTTTAAAAAGTGTTAAGTACTGAAATATTTATGATCTGTTGAATGTTAATAAAACTTTCGTTACTGTACAAACAGCGATCACACGAGTAATTCACAAAAAACAAGTAATTTTTTGTTTAAACTTAATGTTTATCATGTTGATTTGTTTGTATGGTGACGGTATAAAAGCGAAGTTTATTCTCTAGGAAACATTATTATTAAACTAATTTGTAAAAAGTTAATAAATATTATTTTAACGACTTCATCTGTTTGTAGTATCTTACCTACAACTAAGTGTTATATCGCGCATTTTGTAATGAAATAGCAATTATAGTTATAATTTTTATTGTGGGTTACCTACAATGCGAAGAAATGGCGCTGCCTTACAGCTTAAGAAAGGCTAGAAAGAATACGACACGGCTATCAGGGCCGCGGTAGCATAATGATCAGTGCATTCGCCCGGATAGCGAAGGGCGCGGGTTCGAGCCCCGTCTGCTGCCTGGTCCACGTGGATTTTTTTCTAGTAATATTTTCTTTAGATTAAAGCATCGAGCAGTTACATGCTTTAAAAAATAAAAAAATAAAGTTTATTTTATCTAGAAATGTATATGAATAATAAATATGCATGACACCTCTACAAATACTCGTATTCATCATACTAACATTTGCTCACACCGGGATTCGCACCCGGGACCATTGAGTAGGCACCATGAAACCTATATACCACTTGGCCACGGAGGTCGTCAAATCAAGAATGTTCTCCGCATATTAGAAATAGTAGAAAATATTGAATTCTTGAACATCTGGAATAGCTGGGAAGTGGTATAAGAGATCTTTGATGAATATATGTTATGGTTACCGTACGATATACGGTATGGTACGATTCAGTGCCGACATAATTATACTATATATACTATGCACCATAGTGCAATCAAAAAGTTCTGAGTTCGAAAGTAAGCTTTCCCTGCTCTTAGAGGGTATTGATGGAGCGTATCTATGCATATATGGCCAGGGAAGACTGCCAAGCTTTCTTGAGTGACATTTTACAAATGATTTTAGTAAACTGAAGTCAGAATAGTCGAAGCTCATCTGGAAAAGAGATATCCGGAAAATATCTGCGGTCCCGCCATCACTTTACATTCCACACTGCACACCCAATTCCCCTCAAACTTGTATTTATTACACATAACATAATTTAATTAAATTTTAACATTGTTATTAATCATCCTATATTTTATATTTAGTAAAATAAATCGTTTTTCAGTGGGTTTTATTATCTTTTACATAAACTCAACTCAGAAAAAGAAAAAAAAACTTACTCGCTTGTTATTTTGGGAGGAATCAGCTTTTCTTAATTATTTTTTGTCGATAACATTAAAACTTAGCCCTAAAGAGCTCCACTTACGCTTAAATAAAACTCAAATAAATATTTTACAAGTTCATCTTCACAATTTTTCTCGCAGAATGAGTATTTTAATCTATAATTTGGACGGAATGCGGCTACTTTTAGCTAAAATAGCTAAAAATATTTTAAAATCTATCAGACCTAGAGAGTTTAAACGGCATCCATATTGTAGAGAATAATGATTACTTTAAAATCTAGACAGTGACTTTATAGATGTGATGAAACTTTCAAAAGTTACAAGCGAGAAGTTGAAAAAATACTATAAATATTTCGAGGTTTTTTAGGCACCACGTAGTTATCATAGGTCTTCGAAGCTGCAAATCCATTTTTATACTATTGGTAATATCCTAACAACATAAAAAAACAGAAAAGTGCAATAATTTGCAACCAAACGCGATTTATTGTCTAACATGTTTTAAATTACTTTTTAAATTTCCTTCCCTACATAGGGGTTTAGCTAATACTGAGTATATCTACCTACCTATACTCAACTCAATAATTTACTATTACGCTTGTGTGATTTTACGTACTCATACGAGGACACAGAAATTCGTTTTAATAATTATACCTAATATGATGACTTACTCAATCGAACACAGAAATGATGAACTCGATTACAAACTTAATTTCATTGAACATGAATGTTTCGACCATTTCGTAGAATCCAAATAAGCAAACATTGAGGCACGCCTACGTAATTGTTTGCGATACCTGCTGCTATGAATAACTTAACCCAAGTTATGATTTCAACTCATTTTTTAATATTGATGTCATAATGTCTGACATTCAACGCTAATTATAAGACCCGTATTAAAGCTTATTTTTTGACAGTAGAATAACTTTTCACTATAAATGTCGCTCTTAGCTCTACATAAAAAGACGCTGTAAAATTACACACTTTTATGAATATGGAAGAGCTTCGGGATTTTATTTCTCTCTCAATTGTATCGTGTTGTTTTTTAATAAGCAAAATGTCGCCCTGAAATCTAAAGGTTATGTCGCATCCAGAGGGCAGAGAAACAGAGAGCAAAGGGAAATCAGAAAGAATCTGGATGACCAGAAAAGAGAGACAGTGAAAAATCGATTGAAAAGTTAATTTCTAATAACCATATATTACGTCCTTAAATATTTATTTTTATAAGGCATACGATCAGACGGTTCGCTTGATGGTAAGTGATAAGATCTCCAGAGACGTCTTTACTTATGGTGCAGGGTGTGCGTTGCACGGTGACGACGGCGCTCGCTACGAAGCCCCACTTAGCGCAGACGAGGGCCGTGTGACTCTGGTCTTCAAATTTAATTTCCAAACAATAGAATTTATTATTCATTTTTGAAATTTGACAGTTTGCTGTAATTTGTTGCGCTATGACTTGTACTTTGTACCCATTCCATTGTGACCACACGCTTACTAGGGGGCGTTAGGGTAATTTTGCACACGGGCGCCACATGGACTAGAGACACGCCTCTGGTGATAACCGTCGAACATAGACATCTGCATCACAAGGAGTATTACAATTGTGATATCAGCTTTTAAGTAAAGAGTTCGCTCCTTTTTTAAGGTTTTTTGGGTGGATTGGTCCGGAAACACTGCTTACGGTTAAGTATGTGGACGCTGGTATCACGATGTACAATGGCGAAAAGCAACAGCTGAGATTATAGCTGGGACAAATGTGATGGGAGGTGCAAAGCGAAGCTATATTCCTATGCGAAGCCAACTGATCAAGCTAATTGGAAAGTTTTTGACCATCGACGATTCGAGCCGCTCTGAAGCTGAAACTGGAATGCAACCCAAAGTTGATAACAGTACTCCATGTGAGTCTCAACCTTATAAAACCGCGCCTGCGCTTTATAAAAATAACGTAAGGTAAGGGAAAGGTTATCCAATGAGGAAAAACATTCGGAAAATAAAATTTCGTCTAGCAAAGGAAAGTCACACCAAACGGAAAGCCATTGAGCAATGAAAGTCAAGGTCTTCGGGAAATGCATACGCTAAGAAATCGAGGATCAGCCAAAATTCAGTATGGGTAAGTTTATCTTAGGATCCTTTGCTATAAGAAAAGTCATGCCTAAAGTGAAATCCCGAAAAGGGTGAGGTGGTAAGGTCATTCGGGAAGAAAAAGATCACCCCAAACTCTCGAAGTAGTCATCATCATCAGTCATCATTCTGTTAGTCATAATATTTCGATTCATAATAATATTAAAAGGAGGAAAAAGTCAACTTTCCATGTGCCCTATATATAACAACAGGAAAATGGTATTGAGAAAATTATTGTACCCATTAATTCTAAATATCGATGATTACACCTTACAGTTTTGGTTTTGAAATAGAATTCAAAAACTATTTTGTATATTATTATGAGCTATTTCTAGTTAGCTACGAGATATATATGTAAAAATAGAAACAGCGAATGAAGGTATCAATCACTATCACTCAGACTCGAGATTATGTTAATATTTGTTTCTTATCTTCTCTCTCTGTCCGGTGCCTCAGAGATGCGTATAATACTTGTGCCATTGTTTAACTTGAAAATATTTTTTTGCACTTAATATAAATAATTATTTACAAAGACCCTAGTAACTCAGTACCGATAGTAATGTCGTCAGTCGTCATGGTTGTAATTTGAGTATTATTTCAGTTTTGCCAATAAGGCCAATGTCGTATTCAATGAGAGTATCAGAGACTCTGTCTTACATTATCATAAAGTATTACCTTTATTTATTTACTTCCAAGCTATTATGTTAAGATGCGACTTTGTATTGATAGTATTTGTGCTTTTTATATTTGGAACAGATTAAAGTTGAACTCTGAATTTAACCGGAGTCCGATAGATTGTACCTAGTTAGTAGGTGTATGTAGCTTTAGCGGAGTGGACGCATGCGCGGTGTACAACAGTGACTCATCAGCGTGTTATACCTTCGTTGCACTGACGGTCGCGAGCGCCCCGCTGACTGACGCATCGAGTGCGTGTGTGACTCAACAAGTATTTTCTTAAAATTTTCCGGATTTTTGCTAAAAGTAAGTACCTCACGGTGTAATTTTGACTGTCAGACATGTTTTCACAATGTAGTTTATCGAAATTAGCAGTGTTTGCTTAAGTTATTGTCGATAATAATTTCAGATTGCCCGTACCCGATATGTCAACAATAACATTTCTCGTGTAACTGTGAACGAACCTTACACATAGTCTACTAAAAAGGCTGATAAAAAAGATGTTGCATTTTTTTCAACGGCTGTGCCAAGGAACTTATCACCAGCTTATAATAATACAAATATCAGAAACAAGAAATGAATATTTAACGTTTGATATCAATAATGTAGTATTGTAAGAGTATTCCCTATGACGAGGCACTTGATAGCGGAGTGGTTAGTGCGTTCGCTAAGGGATTGGTCGTATCCCAGCTGTATAGAGACGATGACTTACTTCTTTTCTTCGTCTATCAGGTAGATTATCAAAAAGTATTAGACACGTATGTTCTCTTTATTCATATAATCAAATCGTGACAGAGGTTTAAGTATTGATTTGAAATGTCGTATGACGTTACGTCTTGGTACAATTTTTAGTTAGAAATGACGCCAACAGCTCCTACTCCCAAATTTTGACGCGCTTTATCTATGTAATATTTTGATTGATTGGCAAAAGAAAAAATAAGTTTTCATTATTTTTTGATAATCAGACAGGGTCACTGTCATAATCATCCCCTTCACACCTAACAATCCGCAGTGGGCACGTGGTGGTTCGTGGCGCGTTCTACCTATTTTATCCATAGGAAAGGCCCGTGCCTCAGCAGTGGTTTATTGCGATATTTCTTAGGCACAGTAAAACTATACTTATTTATATTCAATTAAATATATAAATTATAGAGATTGCACAATTCTGTTTAGTACTAGATTTTTTGTACAATTCAGGATGCAGGACCACCACAGCATAGGGGTTATAGTATCTATTTTGATTAAAATAAGTCTCTCATTTTGCAATAATACCCGCTAATGATGGATTTCATTTTTCGGTTCTGAACATCTAAAATATTACGAACACCAAACGAACAATAGTATTCTCATTACGGTTTTATAAACTCCGATAACATAAATTATAATTTATCAACCTTTAATGAGATTATATTAATTATTTTTTTATAGAACAATGTGTTTCCCCCCCGAGAATTTTGATATATTTCGCTTTGGTGTTTTGGTACGTAACTACCCTGTAGGTACATATCATTATAGATACAGTAATTTTTAACCGACTTCAAAAAGGAGGAGTTTCTCAATTCGGCCGGTATGTTATTTTTGTAAACTGGAGCTTATTTCTGCAATCCGAGTGGTACATCTTCTAAACAGTTTTGTATAAATAGTCACTCTTTTAAAAACACTGTTTGAGTATACATTATACAATGTAAACATGTCTATGTATTTGTATTCATAATAATGTATCGTTAAAAAAAGTAACTCTCCAATGTTCAATGCTGAATTTGTATTAGAATTAGGATGATAAATGATTCACTGAGATCATTGTTACTTATTTTACTTTTTAAATTAGATAATTTCAAGCAATAACTACAAAACCAAAAAGATCTGAAATAATTTAAAGATGATGCGGGATTTGCAAAACCGCGATCTTCCGCTGTGAGGTCAATTTCTTTTTTTCATTTCGCAGTTCAGCCATTTTGTCAGCTGTACATAAGCATCCCAAATACAAAGAAATTTGTATTCTAGTGAAGTAACTATACTATGTTTTTGTTGCTGTTGAAGTTTACTGAGGGGGTTCAGCGTTTCAAAATCGTCTAGCCATCGGTCTAGACTGTGCCGACGACAGGGGTGTAGTTCAACGAACGAATATTATAATTGTTGATTTGACTCACCTTAGTATGATTTTTGCATCAGCTCTATTTGTGTACTAAACTTTGAATAATAATTTTACTTTTCTTGGTTGACTTGGCAGAGGTGACGTTAGTAATATTTTCTTTCATTAAGTTAATAATATAGAAATTACAAAAACTTTAATGGTTTTTGATAACTGATTAAATTTAAAATCAGAATTTAGAGTCAGAAAGAAAAATATCTATTTTTTTTCTGCAAACAGAGAAATTACTATAGAGTAATTTATACGACGTATAGACGTCGCTTACTTAACCAAATGTTATGTCATCGGAATAAACTTATTTTAATAACAAAATAAATCTTTTCCGCCTACTTTATAATTATTGTAGTAACGCATACAACATATTGTTTCTTTTCAATTATACTCTTACTAATATTATAAATGCAAAAGTGTGTCTGTCAGTCTGTTATATCTTTACGCTTAAACAGCTCAACTGATTTAGAGGAAATTTAGTATAGATAAAGGTTGAGTCCCGGGGCAAGGATAGATTTTATCCTAGAACCTTTGAGGGGATGAAAAGGGGGTCGCAAATTTGTATGGGAAACCTTTTTTTCCACGCAGACGAAGTCGCGGGCACTCACTATTTGTAAATAAAGATAAAGTACCTAAACGTTACTTATACCTACATATTCAACGATGAAACACAAGGTGGCGACCTCGGCCCACTGAGTGGCTGCTTGTCTGCCTTGTCAGACGTCCATGTTCGGAAATGTACGATTATGTACTAAAATACATAATCTATTCGCATATTAAGAAATATTATTAGCGAAAGGTTAAAGTTAGTGAAACAATGTTTTAAAATAACATTATGTCAAAACTTTTTGACTTAAAAGAAACAAAATAAAATTATCTTTAACCAATCTTATACGAGGTGCTCGATGGCGCTGGTGGATAGCGCGTTTGGCCTGCGATCGAGGAGGTTATGCAACTTTCTCAATGGTCGGTCATTGGATGGGTGACCTAAAACTTATTATGTCGAGCTACTCCATGCTTCGGAGGACACGTTAAGCCGTTGGTCCCGGCTGCATCTGCAGTCGTTGGCACCGACCGATCCGCACTGCCTCCGTGAGGTGGGCCAGGGCCCAATCTCCCTATACCAGGAAATCCGTAGGAAAGGCCTGTGCCGCAGCAGTGGGGACATTAATAGGCCGATGATGATGAATCTAGTAATGTCCCCACTGATGGGGCACAAAGCGGTGCGAAATCAGAGAGCAAATATTTACTAATTATGGGGTGCAAAACCAAAGCTTGGTGACCTTTTACTACTTGGGTTGGCATGGCACCGACTCCAAATATTAATTTTACTTAAGATAAAATTATTTAGCTTTTTAGTTTTTTCGGGGGTTTAATTTTTTGTTTAATTTAATAAAAAAAAAATGGGTGCGTGTACTTATGTAGGCGCGTGAGAAGTTATCCTTCTTTGGCATCGTTTAAAATTAGTTTTTAATTGCATGCAAATAATTAATTACAATAAATTAATAAAAAGTCTGGAAAAGGACACAGTCAATAAAGTTCAGTTTTAATTTGAAAAAATAAATAAATAATCAAAATATTCAATTAAAATCGCTACTGAATATAATTTATTAGATCATATGTGATTTGCACTTGTATGAAACTCAAACACGTATTCCGAATATACAAACTAGAAACATGTGGATAAATATTATAAATATGAATACCTTTAACTGTTACTTTATTACAAAAAATAAAGATGTGGTTTTTGGTTCTACTACACCAATGGTCAAGAGATGGCGCTGTAGTCTCCTGAATCGCGCTTTGGTTCCGTTGTTCCAGATTAATAAATACTTTTGATATTATAAATATGAATACCTATAACTGTTACTTTATTACAAAAAATAAAGATGTGGTTTTTGGTTCTACTACACCAATAGTCAAGAGATGGCGCTGTAGTCTCCTGAATCGCGCTTTGGTTCCGTTGTTCCAGATTAATAAATACTTTTGATAGGCCTTCACAATGCAGTCGTTAGCACCCACTAAATAGAGATTCTATTTCTATTTTGTTGGTAGATTTTCTTAATGTGCGGTAAACACAAAAGTAACAGCATGAAGTTGGTATATAATATTTTGTGTTACAGTGATGCGCGCGCATCTTAAAATTTCACTCTCATCATTTTTTCATAACGCGCCTAAAGAAGTATAACTTCAAAAATGGGATCGGCTTTTTTAATTCTTGAGACTGGCTATTATAATGTTATGTATGATTATTTTCCAGGCACCATGTCGCACACGGTTACGATAACGCGAACAACTGCCGTCTCTACCGGCACAGCCGTGTATGTCAACAGCGGTTACTTGAGCACTACTCCTGGACTACTGAAACTTGCTCAGCTGGTAAGCAGTTCTGTCTGTCTATTCCTAAAATAATAAACAATGTTAAAGTCTACTTTGGAATTGCATCAGCGTTGCCAGATTTTTTTTGTCATGTCGGGATTTAGGAACTTTTTGAGTGAAAGAAAGCGGGACTCTTTCGTCGAAAGCGCATAGCAAAAAAAAACCTATATAATCAAAAGTTATTGAATATTTATCTTCATAACGCGCCGGGCAGGCGGTCAGTCCACACTCGTCTGTGCTGCACGCACGGTCGAGTTGTTCCCGCAAAGCGGGATTGAGCCTGTCCCGCGCGGGTCATTAAATTTTGATTTAAAAATCTCGACGTCCCGCCAAAATCGGGACATCTGGCAACGCTGAATTGCATTTACATAAAGAAAATATCCTACCCAGCCTGATACATGCGCTGAGTTGAATTTTTTTGGTAAAATTTTCTTTAGATATAAAAATCTAGCACTTTAATATTAAAAATGTTGATAAAAAATTAAGTTGCTCTACAATTACAAATCAGATATGCAGCTTACTTTATTTTTTTTATACACCACCTACATCTGGAGTACGCATTATAATGTCAAGTAATATCAATTTAAAGTAAGCTATTAAAGCCCATGGGAGCTAAAGTTGTGTAGAAGTTCCCTTGGGTAATAACGACATTTAAATTTAGAACGCGAAAATTTCAACAAAAACTTCTATCAAAAGCTATCTTTTGTATATAAAAAAATAATCAACAGTGGATAAAATTTCCACGTTACACCCATGTGAATGTAGCGAAATGACCAAGCCACATACTTTGACTAAGGTGTAGATGTGTAGTTTGTGAAGTTAGGCCTTGTAGTTAGTGAAGTTAGGCCTTGGAGAGTTAGTGCGTGTAGAGCATGGTGTAGACTTAAAAGTTTAGCTCTACATGAAATCCGATCTTTTTTTGCCAGCTAGAGTCATATATGGTCTCTTCTTGGCAGAATTTACTAATCAAATGTTTGTGGTGGGATTTATTGTTACTTGTTGAAATACTTATTAAAGTTGTCTTAATTTTATGGTACTTATATTGTTTTATTTTCATAAGCCAAAACTGGGGAGATTCGTGTATCTGAATTATTATTATTATTATTCTGGCGGTTTATGGATTGATTTAACTTTACAAAGAACCTGATGTTTATATAGCCTTGCTGTGAATGAGAAGGACGCGAGAGTACCTATCCGAATATTTCAGTCCAGAGAATGCCGGCTGACCTACATAGTTGCGACACCATCGCCATCGAGTAACACGAATTAATAAAATACATTCGAGATACTGGGAAGCGATAGGAGTGAGGACAATAGATTTTTTCCCTTTTCCGTGATGATAATGGGAAACTTTTAGCAATAATATTTCATGTATGAAAGCTTATATTACTTTTGAAAAAAAAGTTATTTTTCACATAGTAGTTATCTTGTTTAGAAAAATAAATATAACTGATGTTCAACTTTTTCATATAGTATCAACGACTTCAATAATTTAATTGAAATCATGTACATTAAATTACATTGCTTCGAGCGAGAAAAAATGTAAGTAGTATAAGTAATTGAATATAATTTGTCGTTTTCCTCGAGACTTGAATCGGAATGATGTCACCGCACACGTCACCTGCATAGTTATAAATAGAGTTGCGTGCTAAGATACTAAACATGAATTTAATCAATTTGGCTTTGCTTATATTAGCAGCAGAAGGTAATTTGAAATACAATGATCCTTTCCCTGCAACAACCTTGAAGTTAAAATTTTCCTTGTTGGGTCGAATTCGATTTGGATTTGTTTAGTCATGTGATGATGATTGGGGAGAAGTTGCGGGAGCCCTTAAATTTCGCCTTGAAATTGTGTGAATTTCATCTGGTGCGGTTTGGTTTATTTTTAGTTACCAAAATACAAGCCAGCGTGCGTGCGACTACGCGATGAAGTCACGCCAGCACATCGTAAAAATGGACTTCGTAAATATAATCGTGAGCCTGCGGCAATTGATACGTGCTCCTTAACTAAGAACTGCTATTAATATAATTTCGAAAATGACATTAATAATGTCGTCTTCGAAATTATATGTATAACGTTCACTTTAGTTCAAAAGTAGCTTCAAAAGAGAACTGGTACGAATACCGATAGAGATCACCCATTACCATCATCATCATCACAATCAGTCGGTGGACGTCCCCTGCTGTACATAGGTTCTAGGGATTTCTAAATACAACACTCGGGTGCTTTCAGCATAGATTGCCATCAACGGATCTATAAATATCATAACTTGGGAAAACATTCTAGTTTTCAATGGGTACTGAGGCGTTTGGATCATAAACTTCAAAGCGATTTAAACATAGTGGTTGAAGTAAGATGACGCTCTACATATTTGCGACCGGGTGTTGGGTGCAGGCAATGTCTCACTTTTACAATCGGAATTAAGTTGCATAACGGTACGAAGTTTCAGATTTTATGCTTGAGGGCAGAGCTCGATGGCGCAAGTAGTTAGTTAGTTAATATTTATTATCTCAATCTCTTCCGTGATTCGGAAGGCACATTAAGCCGTCGGTCTTAGCTGCATCTGCATCGTTAGCACCCACCAATCTGCACTGGGCCCGCGTCTTGATACAATCTCCACTTCCATCCTTAAGGAAGGCCTGTGTCCCAGCAGTAGGGCCATTAAATAGGCCGATGATGATCATAAGGCGTTAACAAGTCAGCAGCATGTCTATCATCCATCTAAGAGAGTTAGGGTAGTGGCAAATCCGCTAATTTACCACTCTAATTGGAGCGCTCTCGTCTGGAAAAGAAATCTCCATCTTACAGAAGGCCACAGTAAAATAACACTGCTATTTGGTGGTGTTGTTTTCTGTCGGTGAGTAGGGCTCCACGGAGTTGGGGAATGGGTCAGTTTTTTTGTATCGCAAGCGTCTATAGCATACGCTTACCATACGCTTACTTTTGGCTTTCTTTGAAATAAAAAATAATAAATGTTTAAATATTTAAAATAAAAATATAGTAAACTAAAATAAAATCTGTTTTATTTCCAGTTGCTTGGCGCGGCTTGTGTGGGAGTGGTTGGATATTACATGGACCACGGGAACTACTATTATACAGTGTCTCCTAAAGCAGAGCTGTTCTATTTGCTGGTTGCCGTGGCATTCCTGATAGGCACTTTCTGTCTCTTCACTGCTTGTCTGGTGTCACTTTCCACTGCATCAATAATTTCCAAAACTATTTATGTAAGTTCAACTTTTATTGTGCACTTGTGCAACAATAAAATATTAAATGTTACTTACCTTTATTCGCGTAAACTTGAAATTGCATGGCGTTTAGAGGAAGTTATTTAAAGGGAAAAGCAACGTTGTATGTTAACTCTATTGAGAAAAAAAGATAAAAATAGATAATCTAAGTAAATGAGATCATGCTTCAATCTATTTGCGGTTTTAGAATTTGCTCGATTGCGTTCTCATAAACTTAAACTTCAGCATTAGAAAAGTTCCATTTGCTACCGCACTTCTATTTTCATTTTGAAGAATAGACGCTATCGAGTTTTACATTTAACAACACTGGACAGCAAATAAATCGGGTCACCTGCTACCTTGGAACTGTGATTTGATTTTCTCAAAAAGTATAAAACTTACTACTGTCAAAGTTATACCTGCAGAAAGATTTAATGAACGATTATAAGGAAAGATTATAATGACCAGAAATTTAATGACATTAGTAATTTTATACTTTTTATTAAGAGTTTTCCCAAAAAAACTCGTTTTCTAATTGTGTTAATCGGTAGTAAAAAACCTAGAAAAATCACTTATGCGAAAATTATGGACAAAAACTAAAGAAATTATAAGAAGTATTAGACTATCTTCATTTTATAAAAAAATAACGTTAATCGCAATTTTATTCAAAAATAAGCAAAACGTAAACATAGTGTTTTCTGCTTTATTACACAGCAAGTTGACAGACAGTACTTTACGATAAAATTTTACTCATTTTTACTATTATGAAACTTATTTTCTGTGGGTATAACTTTAATAGTTGTTATAACTTTATACATTTTGAGAAAATCCAATGTATTATTACTTGTGGCGTTAACGTAGTGCCTTCGTTCCATTCCCGCATATTATCCTTTAATTCAAGTAAGATTTTAAAATTTCAAATAGGAACGAGTTAGTTTGTAGATGCTATCTAAGTAAAATGAAAACATCGGATTGTCTTTGCTTCACCTTCTTTAGCATTCGTAAGATGGATGTACTTTGTCCATGTATGTCAGAAGAATCATCAAACATTATAAAATAATGTTATAATTTTATAATTTATCATCATATGAACTGATTTTATAGTAGTCATAAGGAGAACTATTTCTCTAGACCTTCACTGATTAGGGGAGAACCAAGAGACTTGCCCAAGTGGGAGACGCCAATCACAACAAAAAGTCTCGCATGTGACCAAATGAACGAATTGGCGTTTTGTTTGTACTAATTAAAAAACAATTTTTGAAAGATGGTTCAACTCTCCCGCCTGGGCAGGTCTCGTGGTTTTCCCTAGGGTATGAATCAAAGTACCGTAGGAGTAATAGCTACTCTGTCGCAAGCGTTTGCCAGATATATTACGCTAAAGTGCCGGATGTAATGAAATTATTTACTACTTTATCACCCTTTTAAACAAAAAACTATAAAATACTGGCGTGTGCACGCGACTTCGTCTGTGTGGAAAAAACTGTTTCCCATATTAACTTCCACCACCTGTTTCACCCACTTAAAGGATGCTCTCTGGGATAACAGCGATCCTTTGTCCTTTCCCGGGACTCAAACTATATGGTGTACCAATTTTCATCTAACCGGTTCAACGGTTTAAGCGTGAAGAGGTAATTGACAGACATTTATAACATTAGTATGGAAATTTCAGGAGCTGATATACCATGGGGTCGCCTTCATCATGTACCTCGCGTCGGGGCTCACCCTCATGATAGAGGTCAACCATTATAAGAACAACTACGGTCGCAACTACGAACCCTATTTAGCAGCTGCGGTAGGTTGATTTGTAATCGAATAGAAAAGAATAAATTCCAGTAAGGGTTATAGCCAGAACATGAATATAAACACGAAATAGATGAAAAAGTAAATGGCACTCTTACGTTAAAATTTGATAACTTTCTTGTACCTATTCTTCTTGTCGATCAACGTTTTAAAAGATCTTTTATTTAATAAGCCAACTTGAATACAGTTTTTTTAATTTAATTTCGTATTAGTATAAAATCCCAATTTTCTTTTCTCCTCCTGTGTCAAAGATTTTTTGTAACCTTTTATTCTCACATACAGGAATGGGCACGATATGCTAAAAGCATTAACAGGCCAGTCAGTTTTGATTATAGAAAGTGTTTTTAGTGATTGACTGGCAATTTTTGAATGTGGATTGCGGAGAAATATTGTGATCCAACCGATGAAAAATGTAGTGTCTCTCCCTTTTTTGAATCGGTTAAGATTCCCACTAATAGGTTGTGTTCTTTTTTGATACCCTGCCAATGCCAACATCTTAAGGGATATAGGCGTAAACTTAAATTTTATGTTTCTGGTCGGATATATTATTTAGTTCACGATTGAGTAACGAAATAATCGACCTCCGTGGCCGAGTGGTCTGTACGCCGGGTTTCATGACGTCGCCGACTCGAGAGGTATCGGGTTCGAATCTCGGTGGGGGCAGATGTTTGTGTGATTAAATACGACCATTTGTACTCCAGTCATGGATGTTTAATATGTATATTCTATATAAATATGCTTATATGTACACTATATGTATTCTTACCGTTACCCTAGTATCGCATAACACAAGCCTTACAGTGCTTACTTTGGGGCTAGGCTAATTGGTGTGAGTGTTAGAAATATTTATTATTTATTTATATTTTATAAATCTCTTTCTTTCAGATCATGGGACTAGTCATGGCTGTTTTGTACTTACTGAGTACGTTTTTCGCGAACCGTTCCTACCGAGGCATATAAAACCATTAAACTACCTATTTATTTTACTTTAATTTAATTTAAGTAACCTATAATAATTTTTGCCATATTGGATAGAACCTGCAAGAGTATGAGTAGTATGACATAAAATATATTTAATTTATAATGTGTATATTGTGTGTGGTCTTGGGAAGTAATTGGAATGTTTATAACGCAAAAAGAGGAAGACATTTTCCATAAGATTAACGAAAATCGTCTAAACCTGGAGCGAATGGTATGTTTCTAGTAAAATTTTCAATAGACTTAAATACATTCTCCCATTTTGCCAACAGAATAGCGTGCACTAGTGTACTTATTCCTATTTCAATTTAAACAGACTTCTTCCAAAGAATGCACCTTATAAGTAGTTACCAAATATAAGTAATATTTTCATGAGGTAGTAATCATAAAGATGGGCCTACACTTTACATCTGTACATCCTAAAACTATGATAACAAAGCTTTCAAAGTAACTACTAACTACTTGGTTGCAATTAATAAATCATAATAATGCTACTAAGACAAATGCACAAATAGTTATAATATACATAGTTCTATCTAAGTAATAATTCAGTTATGGGAAAACCGGGAGATTTGCCCAGGTCAGAGAGCTGACTGAAGAAACTTTCAAGATCAATTTTGAAAGATGGTTCAACTCTTCCACCTGGGCAGTTTTCCTAGTTTTCCTCTACTTTGTGTATTGTAATTTTAAAACTGAGGACGATTAATTTAAATAAAAGTATCTATTCTTTTGATACGCTTAAATATTTTTCGAGCAAATTATTAGTAATTTATGAGCTGTTTTTTTTTTTCTTATTATTGTAAAGTAAGTGCCTTACGTTTTAAATGCTTTATTTCGTTCGAAGTAACCATGATTCGGTGTTCAAAAATGAATGAATCAGCGCTAGATATTTGCTAGAATGTCAAGATTTTACGTAACTATGATTAATATTTATGATTTGATATTGTGTTTTGAATATTGCTGAGTGTATTTTAAATATTTATAATACATAATGTTGTCATGTTTTTATACAATTTTGTACTTTTGATATAAACATATTTAAAACTAGTCTTCATGTGTATTAAGAAAAACATCACATGATATTTTATATTTAAAGCAAAAATAATCTACCTAGTTAAGTATATACCTACTTACTTGTTTACTTGTAGGTATAAGTTACATGAAAAACAATACAGAGTAATTATGTGTATAGTGTTGATGACTAATAAGGGATACACAACAGCGAGGAGTACTTACTTATAGGTAATTAAAAAATTGTTTAACATTTTGTTTTATTTACATGCCCATTGAGTTTTTGGAAGAACATTTTTTTAATCAATTTTTTTTGTTATAAAATCGAAGTTTAGAGAAAATAACCTATATGCTTATATGTGTCTTGGAACAAAAAGGGTAATGTCAGATTTTCATTGAAATTCAGCCTATGATTGCCCTTTATTGCAAGATCCCTTCATATTGAAAGACCTTTTCAAGTGGTCTAGTGGTTCCAGACGGAGAGGAGACTCCCCCGTGGGGATATGCCGTTCGTTTGGAATACCTCTGAAGGCACTCCCGATTTTCAGCTTGGGGTCCCCTTAGGATCTCGCCGTCCCCAAACCCGGTGACTCTGTAAAGGTAATTTGCGACCAACAGCATACACACTCAAAAAAAAACCCGCCAAATATAGCTACACTTCTACACACTTAAGATCAATCCGTGTATGTATTATATCTTTCCATATGCTCAATAATATAAACCTATAATATATTATATATTAACATATATAATAAATATGTATTTTGATAATCCTTATCCTCTCCAGATATCTTTTTTCCATATACCGGTTCCTTTACTTTTTTTTACTTGACATTGGCAAAATGCACAAACCGTGCCTGCTTTAACAAAAAAGCAGGAAATTTATGTAAATTGCAGCATTTTAAAATTTTACATTCTAAAGTACCTACATTGTGCTTTTACATTAAAAATCACAATACGGACTTTATTATGCAATATAGGCTAATTGTGTCATTCTTCTTTAGATACATATTATGGCAATGAAAGCTCTTAATATTGTTATAAACTGAACGTGGAAAAATAAAAAAATAAATGCTCTTACTTTATTAAACGACGTGTCATTTAAGTAATCTTATTCTTCTTGCGTATCTGCGGAACTACTGAAGAGAGTAACTATGTTGATATTATGACACAATGTTAATTTGGACGCATTTCTATACAATTTACAATCTTTTTTGTGATACGTACTCTGTGCCGAACATCTTATTTCTATTCATTCCCGCACATACAAATCTAAAAAACCATTCATCATCAGTCTATTAATGACCCGATGAGCTAGCGGCTGTGCATGCAGCCGGAACCAACGGTTAACATGCCTACCGAAGCACGGAGAAGCTTGAGATAATAAAGGACATCGACGAAATCGGCCCTAGCATGCCCAAAAGAATGTCCTTCACTAATATTTTTCTATTATTTTTTTAACTTATTAGTAATTAATCATAGTTAACGGACAATCTGTTTAAAAAAAAACAAAACATAAAAGGTCTGTTACTAGATACTACAGACTGTTCATCCTAATTTTTCCAATTTGGTAAACAATCTTGGCATTCCTTTTTATTGAAAATACAGCATTAAAAATCAACTGATGACTGGATTCAATAGGTTTCGGTCTATAATAACAATTTATTTTAATAGTTTATTGGCTTCATTATTATTTTATTTTTAAATGGGTGATTTTGTTAAAAAGTTGTGCCAAGATTGTTTACCTTAATAAATGCAATATAGGCGACCATAGGTATTTAACAACACAAGAATAGAACTAGGTACCTCAGTTAATAATACTTATAACTTGTATTCATATTATATTTAAAATATTAAGATCATTTCTGAAATTATGTAAAGATAGTTTATACTCCCATTCCATATAATATCTGTTTATTTTTATGAAAATCATAATGATAACCAGGAACATTCCTAATTACCGATACTAAAATATAGAAACAGGTAAATGGAAAGACTTTGAACATTTCATTTGAAAATAAATCTATTATTACAACAGGTAGGTATAGGTATCATAGGTGCCAACTGCCAACACTCTTAAATCACTGTGAATATAAGCATTTATTATTAATTGCATTTTATGTTCATTTAATGCATATTATTTAAGTGCTTACATAGAGGTAAACACTAAATTTATTCAGAATATAAAAAGTGTACATCTTTTATGATTAAGTATAATTATTATAACCTCAAAATCGAATACATTCTGTAGTAGGCCACGGTTCCTCAAGATGTCCGTATCTCAACAAATGCCTAATTAGAGTTTACGAATGATTCCGAACACAACTAGCATTTTCTCATTGCTGTGCGTTCTAGGGCATTCAATGTATGGGGAACGAGCAATGTCCTTTGTGCACCTATCCCATGTAGTCAGCGTGTAGGGGTGACCCCCTACCTAATGATATTAGGATGAAGGAAGGAAGACAACTGTTATTGTTGAATGCATGAGGAGCATTGATTTATTATGTAAAATATGTGTTTTTATATAGTTAATACAATGACGTATTATGATGCATTTCTTAGATACAGCTACGTGATTAAAGTAGGTTATACTTGCTCTGCAGATATACAAGATTACTGTACGTGACTCGTACACAGCGGTTACTGCAAACTTTCACCATCACAAACCGAACTCGCTTACCATCGAGCTCCTCCAAAAAACATTTTTTTTATTGTTAAAAGGATCATCTTGGTACGTATGGTATGGTAAGCGGCTACCAAAGCCTATAGACGCTTGCGATACCAAAAATATCACTCGCGCACGTTGCCTTCCTCCCTTTTTTTTGTGACGCAGGCAAAACCTCTATTTACAGACGTCGGCGCCTATAAGAGGCACACCGACGAACGGACCTCACACCCAGCACTCGCAAACGTCACGGGCACGATGGGGCTAACCCTCAAAGTAACCCGCGCCATTTACGAGCACGCTTAGCGTCGTACTATCTGCTAAAAAACCCTGCGAACACCTTCTACGTTGCTTGATACGAAGCCGCGGGTTCCCCGTTTAGGGATTCTCCGCGTCCCCGCACCCAGCAGCCTCCCGGCCTCGCCGGGGCTCCACGGCAGGGGTCTCCCGAGGTATTGCGGGGACCCCGCAGACGTGCGCAGGATGTCTCGCGCGTGGGGGCGAAGTACGCGGCCTAGTGCCCAGCGTACCGCCCCCCGTCCGCTGAAACTCAATATCACTAAAAGGTAGTGTTATTTTAATGTGATCTTCTGTAAGCTGGAGGTTACTTCTCCAGACGGGCGGAAAACACGCTATGCCCTACCTCTCTTAATTTATTTTATTACTTTTCTTTTTTGGCAGTCATGTTGAAATTGTGTGCTGTTGCCGGCGGATACCTCAACTAGCTAATTCAACTTAGACGCAAACAACAAACTATTACTTTGTTGGTATGCCACGCTTACCAGAAATTTACACAGGTCCGTATCGCATTGTCAATCTATGAAAACTAAGCAGCGCCTCTACCGGACGTAAGCACAAACGGGCTCATTCCATACAAAATTTGGCGATGACGATACCAATACGGAGCTGTCAAAATTTATGCTTGAGCCTCAGATCGGTTGGGTCAAAGACTAGTGATATATAAGTGATGGAATAAGAATCACAATAAAAGCTGTTGAAGAATAAAATAACAGCCTTCTAGTACTAATACCTTGATCACACGTACCGAGCAAACGAGCGAGACAGAGCTGAGTTCTCGGTACTTATAAACATACGGTACGCCGAGTGCTTGGCCGAGCGGAAGGAGGATGGAAGTTATAAACTAATATAAGAATATTAGTTTATAATTTCCATCACTGTTTCGGTCGAGAAACATTTTATTGTCTCGCCCGGATACCGGTACGTGTGATCAAGGCATAAGGGTCTCTCAGTCAACCTGAGGGCGGACAGACAGATATATAAGGATTCCTTGGGGACTACAGAACCCTAAAAATAAATCCAATCACCACGCCACGGTAACATTTTTTCAAAATTGGTTTAAACTTAATTCTTAGCTAAAGAAGTGCATTGAAACTAAGGATTTTCCAATATTTTGAGAGACACTAAATTTATATTTAAAAAAATCCTTTTTTAATTCTTAATTTCTTATTCTGTTTCATTGGAAACACCATATAAAGTAAATCTTTACAAAATAACTCTAAATATAGTTAATAACACCCTCCTTGGCGTGCGCCACTCTATTTTTAACATGCGTATATGCAGTGCACTGGGCACGAGACACAAACTTTAATCCATCTTTGTCTTCGGTACATTTCGGATGTAAAAGAAGAAATGTAATCACTACTGCAGACGATTTTAGAATCTAATAAATTCCTGCATATTTAGGTTATTGGGGAGTTCGCCGAACTTTAATTGGGCTGACTCGCAGAAAACATCTAAAAATATTGTGTTGTGACTAATGCTAACCGTGTAAATGGTTAAGTGTTAACTCCTGCGCTTCCTGTGGCCATACTTTCTGTGCCAGAGTAGCTTCGGGATAGTCGTCCAGTGGTGCAGTGAAACACGAAATTATTGTGCAAGTGTTTGTGACTGTTTGAGGAGACAATGGCACGTGGACCAACGATAGTACGAGTGGCACCAGGTTCGGGGGGAGAGAAAGGAATCAAATGTTGCTGCTGCCGTTGCTGCGAATGTCTCAACCTCGGATACCTGACGTCTCAGCATGGTCTCATCAAACTCGCCCAAGCGGTATGTACTTATATACACCCTTTAGGAACTAAGAAACATTTCCTAAACAAAATTGAATTTCACTACTCAGAAATTGAATTTTGTATTTCTTCATTAAAAAGACTTCTTTGAGCTCATCAATCCTATTCTAAATAATATTATTAATGCGAAAGTAACTGTTTTTGTTTGTTACGCTTTCACGCATAAATTACTGAACGGATTTGGATGAAATTTGGTTACACATATGGGTAATATGGTTTGATATCGGGAATGAGCCAATACTTTTTATCTTGGAAAAATGTGAGGTTCTTGGGGGATTCTATAAAACTAAATTTAATGCGAACAAAGTCGCGGGCGGCTACTAGTTTAAATATATTCATAAAATCATTAGATTATCGTGTCGGTCGAAGAGAGTGCAAAAGACATGAAGTGCAGTCATTGTCAGTGTTGCCCAAATTCAGTCTTGGTCTTGCAGTCTTGGTCTTGTTCTTGCATTTTTGCAAGACCAAGACCAAGACTGACTGACCTGACCGTCCGGCAAGACTCTTGCGTCTTGCAGCTAGGACTTAGCGCTATTTCACGGAGTAGTTAGGTGTATAGGTACGCTTTGGAATTCTATGAGACGCAAAAGACTGTATCAAAGATTATGAAAAACTGGACCTATGCGCATTACGACCAATACCATAAACATACATAGCGAATAAAAAAATATCCATTAAAATCAAACAGAGTGCATGCATAGTTTTGTTTTAACCATCGGCACTTTGATAATGCGGCATCAAAGGTTTTGTACTGACTTCTCAAAGAAATTTGCCGCTTTTCGGAAGTACATGGTGATGATACACGCGCCGGCGCGGCTTCTATTGAAATCACATACAACAATCGTTGCCGCCGCGCCGAAATCACAACATTTGACACTATTTGATTGCCGCCACAGGGCCTAGGTATACTCATGCAAAATTCTAATTTCGTGTCGTGCCGTCCCACTCACGCTAATACTATTTAATATATGAGTGAGCGAGACGGTACGACACGAACTTCGATTTTCGAATTTTAGAGGTGTTAAAAGAATAAATAAGTTTCAGAGTGCTTAGAATGGAAACGAATACATTATACTGATCACGCAAGTAGTGTTATGATTAGATAATGGTAAGGATAGGTAGTAGATGTCATAATAATTTATTCTAGTAAGTATATATTATAATATTGATTATATAGGATTATGATTGGTCTTTCTATAGCTATATTAATTCAAGCTCACAATGTTCCAATTTTTATACGTTTTTCTAAGATCTAAAGTAAACTTTAATAAATAGCAATAGTCTAATAGGTAATTGCAAGACTTGCAAGACTCTTGCTGCAAGACCAAGACCAAGACTTGCTAAGTCTCGTCTTGTTCTTGCATTTGGGCAACACTAGATGCCATGTTTTTGTACAAGATAATTAACAATCACATTGACTCAGCTCAACTTGTGCAGAGTATTGTGCTCCTCACGTTTAAAGGATACCTTTTATGTATCGAGTTGCCATACCAACTATAATAGAGAAATCTTTTTTAGACGGACATGTAATTTTTATAATAAGTACTTGAATGAAGCAGATATTTGCAGTGAATCACTTACCAATTTAAAAAGGAAAGTGAGCGAATTATTTTTAAATAGTATAAAATGTGTATTGTTTATAATCTTTATATATATAATTCTTCTGTGAGTGTGTATGTCACTGAACTTCTCTTAAACGACTGGACCGATTTTGATGAAATTTTTTGTGTGTATTCAAGGGGATCTGAGAATGGTTTAGATTCACAATTTTGTCCGCCGGACAATGTTTTTTTAATTAATTTTTAATTTATTAGTAGTTGTTGATTTTGGAATGTTTTACATTGGATCCGACAGACGGCGCTACCATCGCAGTGTCAAATCTTTATATATATAATTCTTCTGTGAGTGTGTATGTCACTGAATTTCTCTTAAACGACTGGACCGATTTTGATGAAATTTTTTGTGTGTGTTCAAGGGGATCTGAGAATGGTAATTTTCATCAAAATGGTCCAGAATGTTTTAGCTTATTAAAAAAAGTTTGAAATTTTCAAATTAAAGACGTGTAGACAGGACGTCTGTCGGGTCCGCTAGTATACCTATATAGCCGGGATAGGTTCGTGGTGCAGATCGTCTCCGTCTCTCATTTGCGGGAATCCATTGATCTGTTTACATTGATAGATTGTGTTGTAATGGTCATAATTGTTATCAGCTCGTTTCGGGTTTCTCGGTTTTCGTGCGGCGGCGATGTATATAATCTGCGGGGCTAATCAGTAAAATTCTCACGCGCGGATCCAATCCGCGGAATCCGCGTGTTTCCCATATAGAATTTACAGAATAGCCCCACGGTTTACAGATATCCGTCATTTTTATGCCGCTTGAATATAACATTTTTATATCAATTAATGGTACTTTAGATTTATTTGTAAACATACACTGTAAAATTGTTTGTATAAGACTGTTTGCTACCTGAATTAAATAAATAAAAATAAATAAATATATTGTCCGTACAGATCGTAGATTTACAGTTACAAAGCTACAAATGTTTATAATTATATTAACTTTAATATACATAATTTGAATTGAACTCGCTACCTGTGTTATGCAGCCAGAGTAGCTGACCATTCTACGTAACGCCAACATTAAGTAAGCACTACTTTTCTGTAAGAACAAAATCACTTTTCACCTCGGAATCCGCAGTGTATTTAAAATTATAACACGAATTTTAAATAAATTTGAATTCACACAGGCGGGTTACGTGGTGAAAAGTGAGTTTAGCACTGCAGGCGTAAGTTATTTGCAATGAAATGAATAAGATATAATTGGTATTCGTTATTAACATTTTCAGATGTTGGGCGGTCTCTGTCAAAGTTTATTGGTGAAGTACGGGATGTCAGAAGCAGGCAGTATGGCGGGTGCTTTCCACAGCTTTTTGACAACTGCCTCTGCTTGCCTGCTCACTACCTCACTTCTCATCACCTGCTACGTATTGTCAAGCAACACGCAGCAACTAATTAGGCAGTCCATATTTGTAAGTAATAATTTGTATAGCAATATGAATATCACAATGTATATATTGCTCTTTGTGTAGTGTGCGAGCATTTCATTATTAACATATATTTTTATAAGAGCATTCATTGAGCTGTAAGCGGTTTATGTCTACCTCCGAATAACCATATCAATACAAGATAGGTTAAACTGTCTTCGACGATTGATAGTCGAGTCAATTTTCATACTATTAATTTTTCTAGGGAGGAATAAGTTGACATTCGAGAATGGCCCACTGATATATGCCCCCTGATTTCAGTTTGAAATATTTATTTAATTACGCTACGAGAAACATGCAGCATATGATTTTACATGTGAAGCAATATAATAATAAAAATATTTATTTTATAAGTTTAAGTTATAAGTTTAAACAATAGATTTATCAATTGATTATCTGATAAAATATCGGAACAAGTTCTAATAGACTTATCAGGTTCATTTGATAGATCTGATAAAATCTTGAAGATTGTAATCGAACAGATTATCACATACTTCTCGATCAGATAAGATAAGGTAATCTGATAGTTTTCCGTTGATTCATTTGCGTTCGAATTTTTCCAGGAATGCCTGTTCAATGCGGTGGCATGCTTTCTCTACCTGTCAGCATCCTCCTACATGTGTGCCATGGTGAATGTGTTCTTGTACCCGAAGTATGCTCTGGTCAGCATGTACTCTGCGTATCCAGCAATGACTGCTGTCTATGTAGGTATTTTTCACACTATATATGTTACTGGCAATCTGTATAATCCGGCATTCTATGCAATACCTAGGAAATGTATAGAATGCCCAAAACTTCAAGGCAATGTATGAAATATTATTCATTTTATACTTTCCCTGTACAATGCTGTCGACTTTCCTGTGTTTTATTTATTTATTATCTATCGAGTGGTTTGCGCTTCGCCGGCTTGCTCGGCTAGCGCTAAGTTCAGGTCACAACACTAACCTAACCTTAATTAGTATGAGTTGTTTTTTTTTTATTCGGCTACCCCACTCTGTGGCAGGACTTTTTTATGCTTTTTATATTTTCTTTCTTTTTAGAGTTTTTCTTTTCTCTACTTCATATTTTTGTATACGAGTTTTTCTTTTCTCGTTTTTATTCTTTTTACCCGGCTGCGCAATGCAAGAGCGCGAAGCGCGACGCGCAGACAGGGTTATGTGTTTAACAGTCTATATATGTATGTTTGTTCCTTTGTGGCACACTAGAGACCAAACGCCTGGACCGATTTTGATGATTCATACATCAATCGATTCGTCTCAATCATGGGAGTGCTACCAAAGATATGATAGTAATCAAAATTCAATATGGGCAAAATTAGGCGCCATATTGTGACGAAGTAAAAAAAAAAGTTGACAAAATATGTCGAGTGGGGTATCACTGTCTAGATAATCAAAAATCATATTTAGGTTCCTAACATCATTTTTCATTTTATATGATTGTTTAGGATCTACAACGCTTTAAAGTTGTATATTAACCACTTACGCTTTTAATTTCACTTACACTTACGTTTGTATGGATCTTTGTTACTTTTTCGCCTAAAAAATACTGAATGGATTTTAATGAAACTCAACGGTAATATAGCTCATATATGATAATTATATATATATATATATATATATATATATATATATATATATATATATATATATATTAATTTATGTAGTTATTGAGTGAATTGGCCAATATATAAAAATAAGTGTCACATAAGACGGAAAAAAATGTCCCATCTGCGAGCCATTTTGGCCTGCACTGCAAAAACAATAAAAGTTCCATGAATGTAATGTAGAGTGAAAATGTATCTCTTAAATAGTTCTAAAAAAAAGTCCGTGACACCATATATCTATTTTTAATATGTAAGTCATTACCCTTAAAATAGTGAATCAAAAGTAAAATATTATTTGATATCTATTTCCAAAATGCACATTTTGTATTAACAAATCATTTTTTATCAAAACAAATACTTTAATCGCTTTTGATATTTAAAGACGATACACTTTGCTTTTTACACTATGTCATTTCGACAAATATTTAAAAAGTTACAACGATGACAAAGTGATAGCGCGGTGTACTATGTAAAAGAAAAAAACATAAAACACTAACATTAAAACTGTGATACAGTTCCTTCTTATTAAATGATGAAAAATATATTATCATAATAGGTATTTATGATTATTGAATTTTAATGAAAAACTCAGAATTTTACTGTTTTTCATTTTTTTTAACGATATTACTTAAGGTTACAAAAAAGGTTAACTTAATATAATGACAAATAACCCATTTTTCGCTAGTAAGTACATACTTATTGGAATCCCTGTATTTATTAATCAGCTCGCGATAATATTGGTTTTGTAATAATTCTGCTTAATTCAAAGTAAATAATGTAGATTTTTATAGGTGATCTCTAGCCTTGACCCCGAGGGTAAAGTCTTTATATATGTCTTAATAAATCAATCTTTTAGACCGACGCAAGGTACTTAATAATTCCCGCGATATTAATTCCCCTACTGAAGTAACAAGACTACGGTATATACCGTCTTAAAATACTAACTAAAAAGTGTGAAATAAAAAAGGTAAATTTAAAAAATCAAAAAACCCGACTGCTTAATTATTCTTCAAATAAAAACTGAAAAGAAAAAAACAAGTCCAGTAGTCTATAATTCTGTTAATAAGGAACAAAGCTACTTTAACAGTCGGGACCCACCGTTGAAAAATATTATGTATTCTTGAATATCTAATGGGTCCCGACTGCTAAAGTAGCTTTGTTCCTTATTAACAGAATTATAGACTACTGGACTTGTTTTTTTCTTTTCAGTTTTTATTTGAAGAATAATTAAGCAGTCGGGTTTTTTGATTTTTTAAATTTACCTTTTTTTTACTCAACGTTTCTGCAATTCTTATTTTTTATTACAATGTTATTTTCATAATTGTTACTAATTCATCTAGGTTTTTATAAGTCACTGCTATTTTCTATTCTACAATATAATAATAATAATAATAAGTGTTTATTTCAGGCACAGTAACCCATATTAAAAATTACAATAACAATTGCATTTTGTCCAATTTTGTCTTAAGATTAAATCATTGTATCACAATTCGTCAATTATTCAAATTAAATTCAGACAATAACAATAATATTAATAAAAATAAATAAAATATAATAAAAAACTATATGACATAGTTTTACATATTGGATTAAATGAAATAAATTAAATTAATTAATTAACATACATTATTAAAAATTTTCATTGCACTTTACAAACATTGGCGATATGTAGATAAAAGACAGTGTGTGTGACATTAAATGTACTTTACCAAGTTGATATATGTTAATGTTGAGTTTAATGATGCAATAATATTATTGTTGGACTCGTACAGTCTCCTGTGGAATGATTTCTTTAGTCTATTTAACAATACATATATATCGGTTACGTTGTTCTCAGCGAACATACCAGTCGCACTGCACCGCCAAGGTAGACCAAGTATTGCCCTCAAGGCGTTGTTATACTTTACACGAAGAGTATTAAAAACATTCTTCGTATAATTTTCCCATAATTGGCTGGTGTAAAACGACTGGCAGTATGCCTTAAACAACGTAATCTTTACTTGTTTGGAACAGTGTGCAAACCGCCTTGCAAGCATATTAGCACGTATCGCAAGCGATCGCCTTTGTCTTTCTAAGTCATGATCGTCTTTTAATGAGTCGGTTATTATATGCCCCAAATATTTAAACGTGGTAACTATAGTTAATGGACTACCACATAATGTTATTTCTGGGATGCTTCTAGGGCCGCTACCAGCTTTAAAAATCATTACTTCCGTTTTCTTAACGTTGTATTTAAGACCATGTATATGCGCATACTTTTCACAGATACCTAACAGCTTACGGAGGCCGGCCACCGAGGGGCTCAGTAGCACCATATCGTCCGCATAGCTTAAGTTATTAACACATGCTCCGCCAATGTGACAACCGACTCTGGTGCTGCTGAGCTCCTCCAGCAGACCATTCATATAAAGATTAAACAAAACTGTTGAGGTTAGTCCGCCCTGCCTAACCCCGCACTCAAGCTTATATGGTACAGAGAGGGACTGTCCCCATCTGACTTGGTTCTCTTGATTTGAGTACCAATACTGTAATAAATTAATTATTCTTGTAGGTACTTTTGTTTGTCTCAACTTACGCCACAGTAAATTATAATCTATTGAATCAAAAGCGCTGCTAAGGTCTAGGAAACAAGAGTAAATTGAAGTGTTTCTGTTATGATAATATTTTACAGTGTTTTTTAAAGCGTATATTGCCAAGTCAGTTGAGAAACCCTCTCTAAAACCGAATTGGGCACTGTTTAACATAATATTTGATTCGTTTAGGTATACATTTATAATTCTTTCAAAGATTTTTGAAACAATTGTTGCTAAAGAAATAGGCCGGTAATTCTCTATAATAGACGCATCCCCTGTTCTATTCTTTATAATAGGCGCAACAATTGTTTTAATCATTTCATTCGGTAAGTAGCCAAAATCAATACATGCATTCATAAGATAACATAATTTTTCAATCAGTAACGGCCCACCATACAAAACATGCTCCACGCTGAGGCCGTCGTGGCCGGGAGATTTGCCGCGTTTCATGTTCTTAACTATTTAGTTTTCTCTTGCATTTAATACTATTCTTATTATATACATTTTAGCTTATACAATTATTTTCTTAAGTTATTATTTCCTTTTCTTGTTTGTTTACAGTTTTCTCATTAATCTATTTACATTCACGTTTTTTACATTACATATTTTTCTTTACTACATTTCTTTGTCCTTATTTAGACTGTCGTTTGTATTCTATTTATCCTATTTACATTTGCTTGTTATATTTGCTATATTTCATTTACAATATTTACATATTTCTCGTTTTCTATTTTTACTTTTCTTATTTATGCTACGCGTATTTTATTCTGCTCAATTTATCTTTCACTTATCTTCTATTAATATCTCTATCTCTAGACTATCTTATTATTATCTTTCCATGCTCCGTAGTATTTTCTATTTTTGCTGCCGGAGTCCCTCCGTGGTCACTTTTTACCTTCCGAGTTTGGGTGGTTGCCTCTGGAGCCCGGTATGCCTCCGCAAAAGGGGTTTCAAAAAATATATTTTTTTGCCTCCATTTGTTTTGGCCTCGTGGCTACCCTTGTCTTCCACTCTCGTTCCCTCCTTTGTTCCAGGAAGGGGCTTCAGCAGTCTTATCCCTAATATTGATTCCCTTCTTTCTTCAAGAAAGTGGAACCAAGGCCATCTCTTTCCAATATATTTTGTTATCTTTATCCAAATTCCTTTTTCTACCCTATATAATAACATTTCTTTCTGCTCCTTTTTTCCTCTCCCCGTTCTGTTTTTGCCCACAGCACCTTTAGCAATATGCCACCTTCACTCTTGCGATTTTATCCCAGAGTATTCTCTGTGGGCAGTCATTGCTAAAAGTGTTGTGTTCATTCTCTTTCAACTCAGCCCTTTTGCAATTTAGGCAACTAGGAGCGGAATTTTTGTTTGGGCATGCGGCGTATAAGTGGTCCCCCCCACAGTGGCTGCAGCTGTCCAGCGCCTCCGTGCAGACCCGTCTGATGTGGCCGTAGCCCAGACAGCGGGAGCACTGGATTAACGGGGACTGATCTTCCACAGTGGAGATTCCCTACTGTAGTTGAAGAGTCCCCGCGTCTGTCAGCTGCCGCCAAATAGTGGGAGCCACTCAGACCACCACGTGCGCCACATGCGGATTTCTAGTTGCCTTTTCGTATATAATTTCCATATCCTCTTCCTTAAACCTTTCTTCCCTGTTTATTCTTCCAATTTTTCTTTTTATCCCTTCTATCACTTCCCCTTTCTTTTTCTCTCCTCTTACGTTCCTCACTATCACTAATGGATTTTTATTCTTTGCCCTTTCCACTTTTAGTATTTTGTTTCTTTCGATCTTCTCTTTCAATTTCTCTGCCTCACTCTCCCTTGCACACCCTATAATTACCTTTTGCCCTTTCGCCTTTCTCCCTCTTCGTACTTCGTTCCACTCCCCTTTTTCGTCGACCGACTTCCTCACCGCGTCGAACACCTGTTCGCTCGTGAGCGTTTCGTCGGTCGACGCCACTATGATAGAATGTAGTGTCTTGTTTTGGGGTGGAACGCTTCTCACCTTTTCCGCATACGTTTCGTCCTTTCTTTCTTCCTCTATTTTAGTTCCCAGCTCAGTCAGTTTCTTTTGCCCTTCTTCCATTCGCTTTCCCACTCTTTCTTGCATCTCTTTTATCACTTCCAATCTTCCCTTTCCTTCCTCTACCCCTTTATTATTTTCTATTATTATCTCTTTCAGCTTTTCTTGTTCCTCTTTCATGTGCTTGCTTTCTTCGACTTGCATACTCATCATTTTCTCCATTTTCTCTATCCTGTTTTTACTAACTTTCATTTCTTC